GAGCCGCGTTACCACCACCGCCGCTGCCTCTCCCTGCACCCTCGGGGCTCCGGCGTCCCCTCCCCGCAGCCCTGCTGCGTCCCCCCCGCAGCCTCCCTGCAAAAAAGAGAAAGCGCCACGAAAATTAGAAATCAGGCTTCTCCGTCTTAGGGAGAATAGTGTCAGACACGAAAGCCGTGCGACCTGCCGCCGCCTAATTCCCGAGGTCGTCTGTGGGCTTTAAGTACAGATTTTTTCTCCTTCCTCCACCAAAGGCCTGAAGGGTGTGTTTTCACTTTCAGAGATTAAAACCGAAGCAGGGGTGGTGGAGAACGGACATGCTTAGCACTTGTCTGCCGTTGCCTGTGTTGTGCTGCATTGTTTACCTGAAAAGGAGAGACTGAGACCTTGTTACTTCCATCCTTGACTTCTTCTGGGGTTATGATATAACTGTAATAATAAAGCAAAGACTGCGGAAAGAGCATCTGGGAACTGAGCATGGTAGGATCTTGAACAAAAGTAGCTGGTATTGACGAAAAGAGGAAGGGAAGGAATGGCATCCCGAGAGAGGCTGTATGAGCTTTGGATGCTTTACTGCAATAAGGTAAGTATTTGTGTGGGGGGATAGTTTGTGTGTCTTTTTCCTCTTTTGTTTGGAAGTCAGGTGTTTCTCAAGTTACTCCTGAATTTTCCTTTGCTGGTTATCACCACACCATCTAAGTACTGCCATTAATAGTAATGAATTTCCTTCACCTGGCAGGAATGTTATTAAAATACTGCTCTGTTTCCATTTGCATTTTACAGTGTAAAGCAATTCACATGTTTAAAGCACAGGTCCTAATTGCTGCTGGGCATGCTAAGTATGTACACAAATTAGTTTGCAGATTATCTAAATAGATATCTGTAAAATAAGGAACATACAAAAAATAGGTGTAAAGGCAGAGGGAAGGACTGGCCTACTGTCATAGAGGAACTCCATGGCAGTGACAAGGATAGCTTTTGGAGGCATTATTCTCTGGTTTCGTATTGCGTTTTCACTTTGCTGTCTCATGCTTGGTATGTATCACAGTTTCTGTGACTTTTCAAACCAGTAGGACATTAAGGGTGGAACAAACATTCTGTTCTGCTTCTTTACAGTTCATTTCTACAGAAGGCCCATCTCAAGAGTATAGAATGTGAGATTTTAAGTACAGATCATCTTAACAACACAAGTCCACAAAGCAGTTTAATTGTAGCTTTTCTTAATTTTTTGTGTGTGTCAGTTTGCAATCCTAATGCTCTATATGTAGTTAAAAATAAAACTAGTGCAAACAACAGCATAGTATGAATTCTTACGGCTACCTGTGGGGGTGATCTGTGGGGTTGAAACATATTTGCATAGACCTTTGCCTTTTAAACTAACTTAGTAATGTCAATGGCAGTGGGAAATGGACTAGTGCTGGAGGAGATGGATGTTTTGCCGGTGAGTTCATCCATATGAGAAGAACAAAGACACTTGGAACAGACTCCAGGAATCCAGGCTTTCCTCAGCTTTGGGAGACACAAGGCTGCAGACATGAGCCAAGCTCTGAATTTCTTTGGCCAGCCTGTGTTTGTGTCTTTGGTCCCTTGTTCTTCATAAAATTATTTTGTCTGGTTTATACCTTCTCCCTCTTTATGTGAACCTTTCATTCAGGTTGTATGCTTTCCGTCTCCATGTTGTTGGCTTGCTATCAGGAAGTTTGCGTAAGTAAAGGAGTGCTAGTTAAAATGTGTGCTTTAGATCACTTGGAGGATGTTCACTTTCTTTATGGGAATGATGTGTACGCAGTCTAGTCAGCTCTCAGGTGGTGGAAGGTAGACTATGGAAAGAAAAAAATCCTTGTTTATACTCAACCTCCATGAGCTGTCAGTGACTTTTTTGGCCTTTTTTCTTCCAGACCCATATATTAACGGCGCGGTTAGGTGGATTCATATGTTGATGAGGACTTGTTCTTAAGTAGGAATTATTTTTTTTTTTTAAATAAAATAACTTGTCTTCAAAATTTGAGTGACTCCAAAAAAGGAGTCTTCACCTTTTCAAAAAGGTGAAGGTTTTGCTAGACACAAACCTTTTTTTTCCTTCTCTCTCTGAACTGGTTCAGGTTAAAGTGATATCTCGTTCTGTTTGAGGCAGGCATCCAGCATAACAGTGTTTCATCTTGAATTAAGTTTGGTTAAGTTAAGGGCGACTGAAGAAGCTAGGTCTTAGGATGTAGAACGTTGTGAAGCCTTAATGTAAGTTAGATTGTTCAGTCATGTATTGAAAGCATCTGTGTACTGTACTTTGCTCTCCTCAGAGCATCTAGCACAAAGGGAAGGTGTAGCAATAATCGCCTGTGACAGGATACAGTGGTTTAGGGAGAAGTAAGTCTCTCTGTACCTGGGACTGCCTGGTGAAGTGTAGTATCATATCCTGTATGTTGCAGTATCATGGCTGTTGTGGCTGACATCCTTGGAAGGAAAGCTAGGCAATTTCTCCAGACTGCAAAAACTGCTGGAGAGTCACAGGTGAGTAAGGTGGGAGTTTGTTGTGCCACAAATCCCAAATATGTGTCTTTAGCTTTTGCTGCCTTGTTAGCTAAAGAAACAGTGAAATCCAAGCTCCTTGTTTGTGTGATTCTTCAGATTGTTGCTAATGAGTTTCCTCCTTTGTCTTGCCTTTTTTAGATAATCAGGTCCTTTGTGATAGTATGTTAAATATAGCACCCTGTGCTACCACAGCAAGGCTTTTCATGGCTCTAAAGTGATGGATAATGCTGTGTTACCATCTTAGTATCTATTCAGGGTCATGACTCTTGTTCTTTGTGATCACTTGACATCTCTGGCAGTGTCAGGTGTCAGTTGTAACAATTACTTCTGTGCAAAGTAACATTAGGAAGGCATTTCTCTGTTGGCATTGCTTCTTGTGGGGTTTAGCCATTGGAGATTCGGACAGACAGCAGCATGTAACTAGGGTCTCTGCAGAAGCAGTCTTTGGATAATACCATGTATGAGGTGGTTTCTTTTGCTTTCATGTTCGAGTAGTTGCAAAAGTTCATTTTTAATTGGTATTCAGTTGATTTTCGTCTGGCAGTGTTTAATCTAAGGTTGGGGTTTGGTTTTGGAGTTTTTTTTTTCTGCTTCTATTCCCCTAAAAGATATCCTGTAGGGCAACAGCTACATAGCTGCAGATTACAGTTTGCTGTTTAAGTTGCCCAATGTAGTAGCCGCACATGATTTATGATGCTTCTGATGTTGCATGGAAGCAGTTTAAAAATTCATGAGATTTAGTGAAGTTTAGATTTGAGTCACTGGGGTTGTATCACAGCATTGTATTGTTAATAGTCTGAGCTGTTCCTGCCTTGAGGGTGTTTTTTTCTGTTTTTCAAATGATCATGTCAAACTTATTGCAAAAAAGCATTGTTGAGAATGCAACTTACTGGCATGCTTTTCGATGATTTTCAGTTTTAAATGTGTTTTGGTTTTTTTTTCCTAATTCGCTGTTAATGTACAATGCTTTTATTCCCTGAATATTGGTAGGGATGTAAGCTGCGGTCATCTCATCCAAATGTAGGAATGTATACATTTTAAGATAATTGAAATATGTGTACAATCGGTAACATAGGTCCTTTCTACAGAAGTCACTAATCTCTGGTAGGCTGGGTAGACAGTGGTGGTATCAAACGTATTGATTGTCAGTTCAAAGTCTTCAATAATGTACACAGGAGCATGAAACACTTATATAAGTGTACGTGCAGCAGTTACCTGAAAATGCTTTACTAATGGTAAGTGTAGAGCAGAAGAGCTCTATTAGGTGAAGTGGTCTGGGGAAAGGACATGTTTTTGTGTGTGTCTGTGACCTTTTCATGTTCATGTGACTGAGGTTATCTCTGACAGTTTTGCCTTGTGGCCTTAGACCAGCATGGCTGTAATATTATTGTTGTAGTTTTAGTTGATTAATCTGTTCTTAGGTGTTAATTATGAATCAGTATAAAAAATTAGTTTGTGTTTTATAATCCTCCAAAGTAACTGTTAGTGCAGATTCAAATTAAAGAGATTAAACCTTTATGTTATCGGTAAGGTTTTAACTACGTATATTTAATCTCCCTCTGTTGTTCTGGTAGGTATTTCAGACTCTTAGACATAAAGCATGCCAGGATTTCTGATATTTTTGGTTTTACTCAGAAAGTGATTGGATACTTTTTTTTAATATGGAAAGAGATTTTTCTTTTCTATTAAAAAGAAAAAAAATCCCCAATTGCCTTCAGGAGGGGTTTCAAGGGCAGGCACTTAGCTGTCATATATGCACCTCTTCATCTGGGGTCCTTACAGGCTGCCTTACAGGAATCAGAAGGAGACTTGAATGAGAAAATAAATGGTCTTGGGAGAAATCATGATTTCTGTGTTAGTCAGGAGCAGACCACTGTGATGAGTGAGGTGCTACAAACTGCGGTGTGCTAGCAGTGCTAGCTTTTCTGTAATTACATCAGAGACAGCTGTTGCAATGCAAATACTTAGAAGCTGAAACTGTAACACAAGCATGTGCATTTAGTTGGCTTAAGTTTATATTCACATTACCAGGATTAAACATGTTATTTAAATTAATGTGTATTCTGTGCTGTAGGTGAGAAGACTCTGTGAAAGAGAGTAATTTCCATTCCTTTCCTGTTCCCCTGTCGTAATCCTATACAGAACTGAGATAAATTTGACCTTGAATTGTGAGAATAAATTTCTGTGCCTTTGGATCCTTTCAAGGTTGTGCTTCTTGGGGGGTATTCTGTTAGCATCAGCCACCTTGTGTTGGGCCAAAACTAACATAAAAAGAGGGCAATCTTGATAGTCAAAGTTGGCTTGGAGCAAGAATGTACTAGTTTCCTCAGCATGTGGTGTTAGGGTCTTGCTAAGCTGACCTACTGTCACTGACAAAAGGGGTCCTGCCATGTTGTCAGCATCCCTTCACTACTGTTTTACAGTAGGGTCCCCTGGACAATATTTTATAGTTCAATTGAATCCCTCAATCACTTGCATCAAAAGATTGGGGCATTTAATGTGATGTTCAGCAAGTGACAGCAAATGTATACCTTCTGGAAGAGTGTTATGAAATTACAAGGGATAGTTTATCAGTTTATATTAAATAATGTGAGTTTTTGCTTGTAAGAGGTTTTTAACCTCTGTCCCTGTATAAAATTGGACAGTATATGTAAATAAACTAAAGAAGTTTATGATAAGATCAGCTTTTAGACATGACTACTGTAGGGCTGCATACAGCAGTATGATTGAACTGAATTTGTTCACTTAAATGGTGTTGTAGTTGTGTTTCTCAAAGAAATGTAGTTTTAGCAAAATTATGCTTAGTTGTGGCAGGATGCATGTAATTCAGCCAGAATATAATCTTTGATGTTGAAGTGTAAGCCCCATGTGAAACACTGACCTTTGCATCCCAAATACGATTTCATCCTGACTTCAGGTTGCATTTGTCTTCCTTCTTGTGAAATTGCTGATTTGTCAGTGATTCATATCACATCACTATGTATCGCCTTTGTTATATTAGATGAAGAAGTATTTAGTTTACAGCTGGATGAATGCTTGAACAAACCACGTGTTCAGTAAAAGTAGTTTTTTGTAAGTCACTGTCATGTAAATTCATGCCTCTGGAAAACTAGTGAGTGAAGATTTATTAAACTATTGCTGTGTAAATTAGATTTTCTGCAGATTGTTTTAGATAAATCTCTACATTCTGAGAGAGTGTAACTTGTAAAAGAGTATGTCACAAGTCACTTGTGGCCATGTGTTGGTGGAAGTATCTTTGTTCTGTCTTTATTTATGAGATGCTGAACTAAGAATGGATTTAGATAAACACGAACAGTTAGTCTTCAATTCTGAATTTACTATGTGCTATTTAAAGGGATGTCTCATAGTCCAAGAGCTAGTAGAATTCTGATATTTACAAATATAGAACTTCTCACATAAATAATGGGCATGTATATATGAGACATTAGTCTCTTAACTTATAGTAGCTGTTACCTTCCTTAGTTATGGATGAGGACGACCTTGTGCTGTTGATTATTCAGACATAGAACAGGGACTCTGCCACAGAGAACACAGACTTCAAGCTGAAATGAGACAGCAGATAAATGTAAACAGGGCAGAGATGTAAGAAAATCATAACATTTTGCAAGCTATAGAGAAATTGTTTTTGTTTCTTATCATTCTATAATATATTTGTCAATACATATATGTAGCCGCTGCTTTTAGATGAAGAAGTGTCTGAGGTTTGTCCATGCTTTTGCTGTAAGATTCAGGGTTTTAGTGGTCTTCAGCATGAGGTTGAGATTCCTACATGTCCACAGGTTTGTGGGTTAGTGCTTTACAGAATTAATGAGAAACATCCAGTTCTGAACATACCAACAAATGTATTTCATATCAACCTTTTGCTGAAATGAAAGACTCGAGTGTCTCTTAAACAGAATGATTTATCACAAAGCTCGAAACACAGGCTTCTGGTTCTGTGTGGTGATGTGCTAATATAAGAGCGAATTTAAAAAACACTGGGCTGTTGTGTGGTATCTGAGTTATGGCACTTTTAACTTGGTCAGCTGGTTCAGATCTGGGGATAATGTGTGTCCTGATAAAATAATATTGCAGAATCAACTCAAATATGCAATATGTTTGTGCTGTAATATGGAAATGGAGAAAGGCTTGCCAGCTGCCCACAGAACACAATTGTAGTGTAGTGCCTGAATCCAAACGTTGTCAATAGATACTGTTAAAATATTTCCAGGCTTCAGAAAGGTTAAATAGCTGCTATAGAAGAGTGCAGAGCTTCTTTAATTACTGAGCTTTTATTGATGAAAGAAATATATGCAAGAAGGAAAAAACCCACCAAAACTTGCACACTTCTCGACCGTACAGATATGCCTCTTATTTTTTTAGAAAAGTCATTTGTTCAGTTATATTTTCCAATTTATCTTCCAGTAAATGGGAGGCTACAGTAGAGGAGGGTGGGAGATACAACAGGAAATACCAAGAAATTAAAACTCTACTTGATTATTCTCATCATAAATGCTGTTTTAAGTTTGACATCTCACTGAGGCTCCTGCATGCATCTGTAAATCTAAACGTTAGCTGTTACATTTCTGTGCTGATAAAATGTGTGTGTTGATGATATTTAAAGCATTTATCTATTTGTCTGATTTATGATTGAGGATTGCATGTACCTATAGTAAGCAATAAGTGTCATGAAATAATGGTTTGACCATTGAGTAACTCTGCTAACTATGGCTGTGTAAAATTAGGAATTAAATTTAACTGTAAGAATGGCTAATTATACTAGTATCTAAAAGCAGAGCATGTTTTAAAACAGTGATGATAGTTAAGAGGTTAAATTCCAAAGGCTTTAAAGGCTTTTGCATTTTTTATCTAAAGGGCATTTGAGGGAGAAACAAAGCCTCAAAATAAATTAATGGTTAAATACTTTTACATAGCACAAAGAGAGCATAAAATGAAAGCAAATGCTAATCCTTTAGTTA